ACTCGATCAGCTTCCATACGCGAAATGCAAAATCGAAAAGTCGTTGACAACCCTCGAGCAAACAGCTGTTGACAACGCTTAACTTCTCTCGCTGTTTGTAGGTACCGCGCATGTGCAGTTGTACTTCTCTTAAGAAGGTGGGAAAACGCACTGATAACTTTTATTTTACAGAGTCTATTTTGAGAACAAAGTTATCTTTTGAAACCCTGTTACAAGCTGTTGCAGGCGTTCCACGAGGTCTTAAAATAAAATTACTCTGAAACGAGGAAGACTAATGTTACGACAGAACTGACCCTGACCCCGTGTCAATATCGCCGATTTGGCAAATGTCAGTGCTTACCGCTGTAAAAAATTTGCCGAAAAAGCTTGATGTCTTGAGTCTCGGCTAGAACTCTTGAGTTTCGAATTAGCAGAGTTTTGAGCTTCAAAAATAAATGATTTCATAAGCTTATGCTAATACGATAGGAATAAACTATCATAATAGGGGTGCGAGGCAAGAAAGAATATTTCCAATTTTCCTTTACCCATTATAGGCATTAGCATATCCGTGATATACTAACACCTTAATATATTGGAAGGAGGGACCTGAATAGCTGAAAGAAAGAAATGGCACATATGCATTATTCTGAAAGAGATTTTATATACTGCTATGTCATACCAGAAATTATATATAAATGTATTTATACTTGGCACAGATTTGTCCCACACATAAAAATTATAACATATGAATACGACAAGCAGTGTGAAAGGGACTAAATGCGAGAGGGTCTTACTTGTAATATTGGTTTTGTTGTTTTTGTTTAGTGGTATATCAACCTCTATGGGTTATTTAATGCCAAAATCTAAATATTTCGTAAACAATTTTTATTTTTTGGAGATACTAATGGTTTAGCGATACGATTCTTACTAATTAACCCACAGCCGGGGATAGAAGAGGTGTATTAATACTTTCCCTGGGCTATTTGAACGAAAGTGAATATAACGAACCCAACTGGAATTGAATCTCGGCTAAAATTAAAATGTGCGCGTGTGTGTTATGTATTATACTCTCATATATTCTCTCATATTTCATCGTCGATCTATTTATTAATATTATATTTTATGTCAGATTACTCTTTGAGTGCTATTTGTACCATTTAACTCGGTACTACCTTATGATCTACTCATTGGTGACTAAACCGGTCTCCCCACCAGGCTTTTCTGATGATATCGGTGACTAGACACCCAGCAGTATTAACCCTTTGCGTGTCCTGCGTATCATCATATGTGGTGCACACGATCCATGATCTTAAAAGAGCGGTAAAACTAAGGACCCTTAAAAAAAAGAGTCTACTATTGAGCAGGATGTCTGAGAAAGTCCTAATGTATGCATCATATATGACCACAGGATGCTTCACTGATAATGTAAGGTCTTAAATGAAAGAGATCTATTTTTCCACTTTATTGAAATGATTTTAACCTTTGCATCAGATGGGATGCATAGGGCGTAGTATAAATAACTTATGCTTTGTGCAGTTCTATTATGTGAAACACTATATATCATCACATTCTATTTGTCAAATAGAGTTGGGTTGATTTGCAATAGTTATAAATCTGAAAACAAGCATGGACGTTTGGATAGTACACTGGAAAATGCCCTGAACGGGAAAGGAGGGTTAAAAAAAACTTGACTATAGGGTGGAAAGATCTTCTTGCAGGAAGCATACATAACGCACGAAAACGTAGATATACCCGGGTTGGTGTCCGATTGAAGGGCCTCTAACACTCGTCAGAATATCTTTATAGGAGGGGGGAACGCTGATGTAACACCTGAAGTGCAGTTAATTACTGGTTGTCCCAACCGCTACTGAATTCTTAGCTGGTCGCACTGAAGAATGGGTTTGGTTCTGTGCAAAGCTTTATCCACTGTAAACAAAGTCATACACGGAAACTTTTTTGACTTCCCGAGTAGTTTGAGGAGTGAGGGGAGGGGTATGTGAAAGCCTTGCAACGATAGGGGCGCAATGTAGCCCACAGGTTTAACGTACAAAAATCTTATAGTGCAAGGAGACAAAATTTCCAGCATTTTTATTTAAGTGGAGACTGAGATGGGCTGGTCACTTAGCATGCTTAGAGTTACAGTCGACTTCTAAAAAAAGCACCAAACAAGCACCATGATGTGATTGTTTAAGCCACACAAGCGCTCCAAAGACTGACCCACGGAAATATTTGAGAAGGTTAATAAAGAAGCCAGCATTTGTGAAGATCTTGCAAAATACTGGTGATGACTGGTATTAATGCTTTTGAGAAAGACAGTAGATACGCGAAGCTAAAATGGGGGATCAGTTTTGCATTGTTTCTTAATATCATAATGAACCCCCATTTTGTGGCCATAGTAGATTCTATTCATTTCTGCTGATCTTAGTAGAAAGTAAGTTCCAGAAATATATTTTTATGTAATCGTTATTTGATTCAAAAATAAGCTTGTTTGGCAACGAAAAATTGGTGGGGGGGGGGTCAGTTTTGCATTGTTTTTTTTTTTAAATTATAATGAACGGCCTTTTTGTGACTATAGTAAATTCTGTGCATTTCTATATTCTATAAAAAAGAAAGTAACTCCTAAAAAATATTTACTGTTCATTATTATTGTATTTACAAATAAACAATTATTTAAACATTTTTTCTGTGGATACAACAGTTAATTTTTGCCGTAAAAAAGTTAAAAAAAAAGAGAGAGAATGAAAAGTGAGGAACGATAACCTGGCAGCTTTTACACACACACACACACACACACACACACACACACACATCGGGTTTCGATAGCCTAGAGGTAGCATCTCTGACTGATCCCGGCTTGGAGCAATCAGACGTCTAGCCATACTGAAGAGCTGTGATGCAATGAAACAGTTTGTGGATGACAATACACACACACACACACACATATATATATATATAGTTCGCGCACAATTTTATATATATTTCTATTAAAGTGCGGGAAATATTAATATTAACTGTTATATTAACCGTGTTTTGAAAATGAAAACATTATATAAATACATACATACAACAATTTATTTCTTGTTACCAGTTAATATATTTCAACCTTGAAAATGGCTAAATATATAACCGAAAGCGGTCGGAAATAAAAAAAAAACAGTTGGATAGTTTTTATATAATTTATCTACCGAAAAGAAAAAAATTATAACATCACATGAGAAATTGTACGAAAAACTAAATCAAAGCACCTTGTCTGTCATATTCAATGAAACGTGCATATATATATATATATATATATATATATATATATATATATATATATATATATATATATATATATATATATATATATATATAAATATGGAAAAAACATGTAAAATCGCTACATAATTGCAGTCGTGTTTAGATGCCTATCGATGCATCTCATCGGGCGATTGTAAATTTACATGCATTTACGATGCATTGATACGTATCGAAACACGACTGAAACATTGTAGCGATTTTACATATTTTCTAATTATTATTATCCTAAAATAAATAATATTAGTCTACTCTGTATTGAGCCCTTTTCCTAAATTAAATGTTACGAACGTTGGACTTCTACTCTATTTGTTCTCATAGTACCTGGCTATATATATATATATATATATATATATATATATATATATATATATATATATATATATTCAATTCACGGCGTAGATAGCTCTCGGCTGGCTTTTCATACCTCAGCGATATCACGACCAGATTGAGGGAACCAGGGACGTTTTAACCAGACGCGTTTGCCTACTAAGCCGTGTGCCTCTCGGGGCTGACACTGCCGAACTTTCACCTACACTGGTTGAGTGGAAGAAACGGACAAACGACATAAAAAGGTGAATAAAACTGTTAGGTATTAACTGATACAATATTATCCTCTCAGCATTGAAAACGAATCGAGAACAATCGATCCCCGTGGATCTATTAAACTGTTCGATTCCCAAATTCTGAGAGGTGACGAAGAACGAATACAGACTCCTGATGAAAACCGTAGGGGTACAACAACCGAAATGCCGTGAGTATAAATTCCAGTATGGTCCAATTAATAGAGCATGTAATTACGATAATTCTTTTTCTTTTATTTGTTGTGTCCCTTTCGGACATAGCCGATCATAGCGCTTCACATCTTCCTGTAATTTTTATCTCTAAGCCATCCGCCTTGTCCCCAATCTCTCATCGATGCAAGCAAACTCATTAAGTATGTGTTTCACTGGTTCCCTCTGTCTCCCTTTCTAGCAGTATGTCTTGTGAGTGTTAGAGTTTCCAAGCACTCTTTCTTCATTATGTGTTCGAGAAATTTCAACTATCTATTTCTGATTTTAAGCGTATCCTTTTAGTTCACATACTTAAACCAACAATGGTTACATGTGTAAAATCTAAGATAAAACGAAATAAAACACTAAAGATAAAACTAAATTAACACTTAAGATAAAACGATATAAAATATTGAAGATGAAACTAAATAGAATAGAAAAAATAAAAATTAAGATAAAACTAAATCGAACGGAAAAGATAAACTTAAGATAAAAACTATATAACACGATGATTTAGAGATTATATAGAACTAAATTAGTATATTTTAATCATTTATTTTAATCTATATTAAAATATAATCTTTGCTAATCGTGAAATAATTCTTTTAGACGTAGTTTTAAATATGAACAATGGAAGAGAATGGTGCTTTTTTTTAGATAAATCTAAGTCAAACTGTTCATCAGTGAAACTTGTCTTATGTCATGATCCCCTTTTTCCTCTGATTTAATGCTTGATCAAAAATACTTTAAATCTCGCTTCTACACGGGATCCCTATTATTCTCACAGTGCATCAGACACAGTTACGCCGAACCATATCAAGGAAATGATCATAAAATTAAACAGTTGTATAACTTTCTACTGAATGGAAGCCAAAGGAACATGGTAAGTCTGTCGAATTTTCTATCCAAAACTGACCTTTCAAAGCACCCAGGCTTTAATTAGGGGGTGGATTATGTCTTCTTAGGCAGACATCTTTGTTGTGTGGAGGGCAGGCAGGTTGTACTAGGAGTGGTCGGGGTGGATTTAATCTGCCGAGATCGGATCAGGAATGGGTGAGGACATAGAACTGGCAAAATGAAAAGTTTCAGAAATTACTAAATTAAGTTAAGTAGTGAAATTTCCCCCTGCTGACATAAAACTTACGGAAGAAGTAGTCAAGAACAAAACAAAAATTAAAAGAAGTGTCTCTCTAGCCTCGATATGACTTCACATTTCACAAAATGGCGGAACCCATTTTGGCAATGCAAGTACAGGATATCGTCTATTTCAAATACTTATGTCCATTAAATATAACGTTTTAAGTTTTTAAAAATGTAGGATTAAAAAATCCATTGATTATTTTGAAATATATATGGACATTGGAATCAACAGTCAGCGGTGACAGTCTGTTTCATGCTCAGACGCAGTCTTCATGGACGATGGATGCTCAATTCAATACCCACTTTTATATTTATAGTCACTTACGATCTATCCCTGATAGTGAGCATTTTAACCCATAAATATAGTGTACATTAAAACTTATATAACCAGATGAAATGAGAACGAATCAGAAAATTCAAACGTTCACAACATTAATTTAAAAATAGAGCTCAATAGTAGAGTGATAATTTTTTATTATCGGATATTACATTCGAACATATGTAAAACCGCTACATGAATGCATTCATGTTTCGCATCTCATCAGGCGGTGGTAAATGAGGGTTACCATGGACTAATGAGATGCGATGATATGCATCAAAACATGAATGCATTTATGTGGTGCTTTTACATATGTTCGAATGTAATATCCGATAATAAAGAATATATATATATATATATATATATATATATATATATAGTTGGATTGATGTGAGTTTGTCTGACGATCGCAAAAGCGTGAAACCCAGGGTCACAAACTCACATCAATCCAACTAAATATGTTAGCTCTATCATTGATATTGAGCGCTCTCCAATAAGTACTGCGCATATATAATATATGAATATATATATATAATAAATTGCATATATATATATATATATATATATATATATATATATATATATATATATATATATAGTTATTTAGTTATTATATGCATACATTTTCACACACACATATATATATATGTGTGTGTGTGTGGATTATTGCTCTATACATTATATTTACATACATCGTCTTTATATACATCGTCTTTTCATGTTGTATTGAATATAGTCTAATGTTAATTATGTTTTATGAATATGTCCTGAAGATGGTCGACTAGACCGAAACGTCCGACGTTGACATTATATTAACATTAAAACAGCATAATTGCATATTAGGATTTTTGTTTGTTTTTCCGTATATTTTTCTTCACATTATATTTAGTGAACACACGTGTTTCATTAATTCGTTTTGTACGACTTATAATTCTATTAAAAAGCCAGAAAATATTTTAAATTGTAAGAACATTTTTTTTGGGGGGTAATAGTGGTTTAGCGATACAAGTCTTACTAATTAACTAATAGCTTGTCGGGGGGGGGGTTGTAAAGAGGTGGATCCATCCCTTTCCCAAGAAGGGTATTTGCGCGAAAATGGATCTAACGAACACAACAATTCCGTACAATTATCCATTAAACCACACCTGCTCATCCATGCTTACAGCACCTGGTATTCACAAGTGGTCACTCATCAGGGCTCGACGATCGTACCGGGGACCAGTGTTTTATCGTGATATGGTCATAAGCCACACGTGCTTGAGTAGACATCTCTGTTTTTAAACAGTTTATTCTTAGCCTCGCATATGTCATCTTTCATGACACGAAGCATACAAATATAAACTTCTTGTCATTTATTTAAAGTTTAATATATGAAGACAAATACGCACACACATATACACAATTTTGCTATTTTTCTATAGCAGGTGCTTTTATTTTCGTGTAACATACTAGTTGCGTCTCTTCCTTTAGTAACTTGAATAAAGAATTCAGTATTTAACACAGATATTCCATTGATTGTAAAACCACAAACAACTTCTTCCAATGGTAAGATATAATTTCCATTCAAATAGTCTCTTCCCACAAATGGCTACCGTATAGAACCGACACCCGAGAGTATGCTTTCCCGATCACTACACTCTTAACTTGTTCAAGTCTAGCGTTAACCGGTAACGCCCCCACATATCCCTACAAACTGTGCCTCTTACTGTGTAACTCTCTACCTCGAGTAGCTCTTGGGCCTTGTACAGGATGAAGATTATTGTAAGAAAAAATTTAAGAACTACTAAATTAAGTAGAGAAATTTCTTGTTGTTGACATTAAAACATACGGAAGAAGTAGCCAAGAACTAAACAAAAATTAAAATAAGTCTCCTTCCAAAAGCGTCCTGGGTATGACGATAAACTACATCCGTGTCCTGGATAAGACGACAAACTACGTCCAACAGCAAGGCCTCTGATCAGAAGGTTTTGAAGAGCGTGGAACCACCTCTTAATTGCTGGTGTTCCCATGTCCATTCTGACCCGGGGTGGTAGCATCTGTTAGGGCCCTAACTATGGGTAAATAGTTAACCCCCAAACTGGGTTTAAAACCCTTCAATACATTTTTTTGAGGAAAAATTATTACCAGCAATACATTTTTGATGAAAAAATATTACCAGCAATACATTTTTAAAAAAAATATTACCAACAATAAAAATCCTGTCAGTATTAAATAACCCATTGAGGTGTTGATATGCCGTAAAACAAAACAAACTAAACCAAACCAATCCTTCCAAAAATTAAAATAAGTGTTCTTCACATTTTACAAAATGGCGAAACCTTGTAGATTCTGACAACATAAGCGCAGATTGGATCTGCAGCTGGTGTAATAGTTAAATGATCGGAAGGAAAAATCTGCGAGACAATTTCGAATTCCAGCCGAGATCGTTATATTCACTTTCGCACAAATAGCTTTGAGAAAGGTATGAATCCATCTAGTCTACCCTCAGCTATGTTAAATAGTAGGGACGGATTTCTGTAGATATGGTCGGCTGCTAGTATACGTGACGGACATCTCTGAATTAAAAACCGTATGTGTCCCTAGTTGGGCTCCTACTTGAACTGTAACTAGGGTCCGCTCAGCATAGTTGCAGTATAAACAACAACTCGGCTCTCTGGATGTTAAATGGGCTTAAGCATATGGGCGTGTTTGCAAACGAGCAGCCACGCTAAGGATGAGAAATCACACTGATTTACAATGTGTCTTCAAGTCGAATCGGCTCTGATGGTGATAAATCACAGAATGTCGTCAGAGGATGGAATATGTTCGAATGATTGTTTTGTTTTTTTGTTTTTTTTTTTACTTTCTTTTCCTGGGTTACTTTTATTTTAATATATTTTATTATCCTTCTTTATGTAAAACCAGAAATCACGGATAGAATTTATTAAAGTACGACAACACTTTCTTTCCACTTCAATGATTGCATAAACACTAACAGAGCAAACACCAAAAGTATATATAGTAATTATTGCAAATTATTTTACTGAAGAAGATTTATTGGGCTGGTTAAGTTAACAATATTTCAATTCTTGTTTGGTTGTTTGGCGTCGATTATAAGTCTTATACAAAAAATAGAATTAATTAATGGACAAAGACATAGGTACAATTTATTCGAGAGTCAAAAGTAAGACATGGTTTAGTTTGGTTTGTTTTACGGTATATCAACCTCAATGGGTTATTCAACGCCAACAAGATTTTATATTGCTGGTAATATTTTTTTCCAAAATGTCTTGCTGGTAATATTTTTTTTTTAAATGTATTGCTAGTAATATTTTTTTCAAAAATGTGTTGCTGGTAAAATTTTTTCCAAAAATGTACTGCTGGTATTAATACCTATTTTTATACTTTCATAGTGTTTTGACCTCTTTTTTTGGTGGTGGTGGGGTGGGGTAACTATTTGCCCATAGCTAGGACCCTGACAGGTGCTATCACCCCGGGTCATCGTGGACCTGGGAACCAGCAATTAAGAGCTGGTTCCACGCGCCTCAAAACCTTCTGATCAAATGCCTTGCTGTCGGATGTAGTTTATCGTCACACTCAGGACAGGTGAGACACGGGTTCAGTTTACACTAGAGTAAAAATCATCAGGAATGTGTTCGGTTTACACGAGAGTCAAAAAGTGAGATATGCGTTTGGTTTACACGAGAGTCAAAAAGTGAGGTATGTGTTCGGCTTACATTCTTGTCAAAAGGTGGGACATGGGTCTGTTTTATACTAGAGTCTGCAAGTATCCACTCGAGATATGGTCCACTTTGGGGTATTTTACCTCTCTACAGGGGATGTAGTTGGTGTATTCTAAGCCCCGCCGATAGGCCATACTATCAAAATGCAATGCATATTTTTAATACTATTGTTCACACAATGCAAGGCCCACGAGCCATTCAGGCAGTGTATTAATGAATGAGGTTGTTCCAAGGGCGTAAAGGAAAAGTTAATATTTTGAGGATAAATAACGGTTGACCCAAGATTTGAAATGGTTAAGGAGGGAGTCTGTTCCACAAAGTAACACTTCTGGGGAAAAAAGCCGTCTGAGTGGAACTTTCTCCTTACCAGTGGAATACGTAGGCAATGCGGATGATTAGATCCTGTGTACGTGGCATGGCAGTTCCTAGCTGCGATTATCTGAACTGCTAAAGCTGAGGAATATAGCTCGTCTGAACATCTGGCATGAAAATAATGATAGAGTATCGAACGAGAAGCGAGTAACGATCCGTCTGTCGGTATTATCCACTAATATTTGTCTCATGTTGATAGATGTATTTTGGTTATTCGTGATGTACTAATCAATATGTAAACGACAAATGACAAGTTAACCTACGAGAGAGTGTGATGCATGTGTTGCAGATGTAAGAATTTAATGTTGTTTTTGATTGTTGATATTGGAGATGGAATCTCCCAGAGGCCATGAGAATTCATAAACAACGTTATTTGTTTTTACACTTGGCGGGTGGGGAGATGAAGCTCCGTGTTATTACTTATAATTAAGTTATATATTTTGAACATTTTATAGTAAATGATAAGACTAATGTGTTTGTTTGGATCGTTAAGTGATATGTACCAGTGACTTATATTTTAATCGCTTTTTCATCCTGTTTATAATTAAACTTACGATAGAATTAGTTCATGATGTTTATAGCAGGGTGATTGCTCGTTTTGTATTCTTTTTTTTTAAATTTTGTTTTATTTCTTCGTCGACGGCATGGTTGGGGAAGTTATGTTTGATAAGTACTTGTTATATGTTGTTCTGTTCCTTATAAAATAATGTATACGAAGAAGAATGTCTTTTGGCACGGTTAATCATATTTTTTTTTATAAAAGCAACTAACGTAGCTTTAACCGATTTGTGAAGGATATTAGAATAATAAAGAACATACTGGCAGCAAACCGCCTGCATGCGAACAGAAAATGAATTCAGTAAATTGAAAGGGGTGTAAGACAAGCAAAAATAGGAAGGAGTGTAAGACAAGCAAAAATGTAGAAAGGGGCGTAAGACAAGCAAAAATAGAAAGGAGTGTAAGACAAGCAAAAATATAGAAAGGGGCGTAAGACAAGCAAAAATAGAAAGGAGTGTAAGACAAGCAAAAATATTGAAAGGAGGTAAGACAAGCAAAAATAGAAAGGAGGTAAGACAAGCAAAAATATAGAAAGGGCGTAAGACACGCAAAAATAGAAAGGAGTGTAAGACAAGCAAAAATATAGAAAGGGGCGTAAGACAAGCAAAAATAGAAAGGGGTGTAAGACAAGCAAAAATATAGAAAGGGGCGTAAGACAAGCAAAAATAGAAAGGAGTGTAAGACAAGCAAAAATATAGAAAGGGGCGTAAGACAAGCAAAAATAGAAAGGAGTGTAAGACAAGCAAAAATATAGAAAGGGGCGTAAGACAAGCAAAAATATAGAAAGGGGTGTAAGACAAGCGAAAAATAGAAAGGAGTGTAAGACAAGCTAAAATATAGAAAGGGGTGTAAGACAAGCGAAAAATAGAAAGGAGTGTAAGACAAGCTAAAATATAGAAAGGGGTGTAAGACAAGCGAAAAATAGAAAGGGGTGTAAGACAAGCGAAAAAGTTGAAAGGAGTGTAAGACAAGCAAAAAATAGAAAGGAGTGTAAGACAAGACAAAAAAAGTTGAAAGGGGTGTAAGACAAGCAAAAATAGAAAGGTGTAAGACAAGCAAAAATATAGAAAGGGCGTAAGACAAGCAAAAATATAGAAAGGGGGCGTAAGACAAGCAAAAATAGAAAGGAGGTAAGACAAGCAAAAATATAGAAAGGGGCGTAAGACAAGCAAAAATATAGAAAGGGCGTAAGACAAGCAAAAATAGAAAGGTATAAGACAAGAAAGGGGTATAGAAAAGACAAGACAAAAAAAAATAGAAAGGAGTGTAAGACAAGCAAAAATATAAAAAGGGGCGTAAGACAAGCAAAAAATAGAAAGGAGGTAAGACAAGCAAAAATATAGAAAGGTGTAAGACAAGCAAAAAATAGAAAGGAGTGTAAGACAAGCAAAAATATAGAAAGGGGTGTAAGACAAGCAAAAAATAGAAAGGAGTGTAAGACAAGCAAAAATATAGAAATGGGCGTAAGACAAGCAAAAATAGAAAGGTGTAAGACAAGCAAAAATATAGAAAGGGGCGTAAGACAAGCAAAAAATAGAAAGGAGGTAAGACAAGCAAAAAATATAGAAAGGGGCGTAAGACAAGCAAAAATAGAAAGGAGTGTAAGACAAGCAAAAATATAGAAAGGGGCGTAAGACAAGCAAAAATAGAAAGGAGTGTAAGACAAGCAAAAATATAGAAAGGGGTGTAAGACAAGCGAAAAATAGAAAGGGGTGTAAGACAAGCAAAAATATAGAAAGGGGCGTAAGACAAGCAAAAATAGAAAGGAGTGTAAGACAAGCAAAAATATAGAAAGGGGCGTAAGACAAGCAAAAATATAGAAAGGGGCGTAAGACAAGCAAAAATAGAAAGGAGTGTAAGACAAGCAAAAATATTGAAAGGAGTGTAAGACAAGCAAAAATAGAAAGGAGTGTAAGACAAGCAAAAATATAGAAAGGGGCGTAAGACAAGCAAAAATAGAAAGGAGTGTAAGACAAGCGAAAAAGTTGAAAGGGGCGTAAGACAAGCGAAAAAGTTGAAAGGGGTGTAAGACAAGCGAAAAATAGAAAGGGGTGTAAGACACGCTAAAATATAGAAAGGGGCGTAAGACAAGCAAAAATAGAAAGGAGTGTAAGACAAGCAAAAATGTAGAAAGGGGCGTAAGACAAGCAAAAATAGAAAGGAGTGTAAGACAAGCGAAAAAGTTGAAAGGGGTGTAAGACAAACAAAAAAAAATAGGAAGCGGTTTAAAACAAGCAAAAAAATAGAAAGGCATATAAGACAATATGTGCATTCACACCAGATCTATTCATCCTATACAGTGAGGCGATTCTGAAAGTTCTACTAGGATTCATTATTGGCGGCTGTGGCATGCAGAAATGAGGGCAGAAGGTGAGTCGTCCCTGGCGTTCATATGGAGAAGGGATCCACTCAAGGAGTGAAATAAAAAAATTAATTTATATTTAATTTGAATAACGTGTTTATCTCATGTTTCATCTGTTTTTACATATTTAAAATGTCTTCCTTTCTCATATTTCTCAGTACTAGGACCTATAGCCCTCCCCACTTGAGTCTTAGCGGCATATAATCAACGAGTTGACCTCGGGAATCAACAAGCATTACAAATCTGCACGTCACTGATTGACTGTCACATTCTTAACAACATAAAATATGCAGATAACACAGTGTTTTTAGCATACATAGAAAGGTAGTGAATAAAATCGAGAAGAAAAGAAAAAACATCAATTGCAAGAAGACAGACTGCATGATTGTTAGCAAAAAGAACATGCAAATTACAAATTGGAGATACCAAAATCAAACAAATACAACAATTTAAATATCTGCATAATGTCTTAACAGTGGACGAAAAGTGCGACACTCAATTTCGAATGTGCATTGGGATAGGGAAAGAAGCCTTCCAAAAGTTAAGCGAAGTATTAAGAGACAGGAAAATTTCGTTAGAAACAAAGAAAAGAGTATTGGACTGTTATGTAGTATCGGTCGTCCTATATGACAGTGAATGCTGGACAATCTCCTCCCAGATGAAGAAGAGACTTGAACCAACAGAAATGTGGTTCTACAGAAGGATGCTGAGAACATCGTGGATCGAACACGTGAGCAACGACGAAGTTTTAGAGAAAAGTGAAACTAGAAGGACACTTATAATTCACATCATTTGAAATTTCTAGGGCATATAATGAGGAAAAAGTGTTCGTCAAATATGATACTCACAGGACAGATTGAAGGCAAGCGGGACAGAGGAAAACAACGCATAACCTACCTAGAGAGATTGAGTAAATAGATGGCGGAACAAGGTTTAGGAGAAACAGCAAAAAGACAAAATTTACTAAGATATTTAGCCCCCCCCCACGAGGGTGTCATGTGGCACAAGGCCTTTTTAACGTGGGCATTCCCGAGCCATTAGGCTCGGCCAAAAAAATAGCCCATTTGAACCCGTATAAACGGGTTCAGGGTTGAGTTTACCTCCCCGAAGGAGACTCCGCTCTTCGGCGTAGCCTCCTTCGGGTTCCTCCCGCCCGTAGGAAGAGAGTTGAACCGATCAGTCGCTCAGAAAGTATCTGGACGGCTAACAACAAAATTTACTAAGTGCTACAAAGGAGAAGAAATTTTGAAGAGCCATGATCGCACACGTCCTGAAGAGAACTTGTTGAGAGCTGCAAGGGATAGCGGGAGGTGGAGAGCCATGATCGCCTACGTCCTGAAAGGGCATGGCACATAATAAGAAAAGGAGGATATGTAGCCGGGTTAATACTCACCCAGTAATATTTTTGGGTTGGGGAGGTTGAGGGATCCGATTTCTGCGTTATTAGCTGTAATCATTTTGTTTATCTGTCTTGAAGAGGCTTGTTTCTGTTTAAATTTGGCTTCGTTTTTTTTTTAGGTCAGATTCAAGTTTTTCATGATAGTCTGTCTCTCAGAATCCTAGACGCTATTATACAAAATAAACTTATATTAAATGAAATATTTTTCCTCATAGGAAACGCTATCTTGAATTATGTATGAAATATTTAATATGCGTAAAAATAAAAGAAAAAATGATATTTATGCATTCTTTTTCGGTCGGTTACGCATCATTTAACCGGTTACATATAACGTCACTCTGAATTGTTTCTAACTTTCAGCTCTCTATAAAATATCAGGATATATTCAACGGCATCTTGTCCACTATACAGACAGAATATGATTCATGATAATAACTGAAACAGTCGAAAGTACTTGAACAAAAACAATAGTACACGAATGAACTTCGGACATTTTACCCATAATTTTGATCCTTATATAAATAATAATAATAATAATAATAATAATAATAATAACAAAACGACAGAACTTGTCCGTCGAATTTAATCAAACTTGTTTGGTTTGTTTTGTTTTACGGCATATCAACACCCCAATGTGTTATTTAAGGCCGACAAAAATAGGTTTAATACCAAAAATACTTCGTAAAAAATTATTAAAATACATTTTGAAAAAAAATCTTACCAAATAATTTTTTTGAAAAAAAGTTGATATGCAGCGTTAAATATTTTATATTACAAAATTTTATTGTCGGAAAAATATTTTTTTTTGAAAAATATATTTCTAGTAAAATTTTTCCTTTAAAAAACTATTTTTTTAGTAAAAGTTTTTTACTTCAAATATGTAAAAATCGTTGGTAATATTTTTTTTTTTTAAAAAAATGTATAGCTGGTAAGATTTTTTTTTCAAAAATGTATTACTGGTAATAATTTTTTTACGAAGTATTTTTGGTATTAAAACCTATTTTTACACTTTCATCATGTTTTGACCCCAGTTTGGGGGTTAACTATTTACCCATAGCTGGGACCCTAACAGGTGCTACCACCCCGGGTCATGATGGACCTGGGAACACGAAAAATTAAGAGGTGGTTCCACGCTCTTCAAAACCTTCAGATCAAAGGCCTTGCTGATGGACGTACTTTATCGTCTTACCCAGGACGCGGATGTTGTTTATCGTCATACCCAAGACGGCTAATTTGTTTGGATGAATACTTGCTGCTTAAAAATATATAGATAGAAATGGGAGGAATATAGGCCGGTTGTTATTAATATCAGTATTTAAGAAAAATAAAAATGAAAACAGGGACAGAAAGTCAAACATTATTGTTTTTGTGTAACATAATATCTAGGAAGGGAAGAGTGTGATCGGTTTCACTTTCAAAAGTAAAGACTATTGTAGGTTCAACGTTGTTAAGTTGGTTGACAAGATCTGTTAAATAAGATTTTTTGTTGGTTGATAACGTCTGTTGGTTTACCAATGGGATCTCCTCTCAGCGACGTTCTTGCTTATCTATTTTTAGAGTTTCTAGAAAGTGGCCCATTCAAAAAAACTCTTCCTTTTTCAGATACATAGACGACTCACTAGTAATATATCCACAAAATAGTGAATCTAACAGCTCTTTTCAACCAACATAACAAACTCAAACATGTATATCCACTAAAAATAACGTTTGTAGTCATAAAAATTAATGCCGGATTAAAAAAAAAAACATTCCATATATATATATATATATATATATATATATATATATATATATATATATATATATGTATTGTTTTTAGGTAGAAATCCTTCTTTCATGGACATTTCATTGAATAGACAGACAAGGTGATTTGATTTAGTTTTTTATACAATTTCTCATGCGATCTAATAATTTTTTCTTTTCAGATGATAAATTATATAAAAACTGTCCGAATGTTATTTTTTTCCCGAGCGCTTTCATCTATGAACATGAACACAAAATCTTGACCATGTTTTGAAAAATGAAAACATTATATATATGCATACATGCAACAAACTATTTCTTATTTAACAGTTAAAATATTTCATCCTTGAAAATAGATAAATGTATAGCCGAAAGCGCTCGGGAAAAAAGAACATTCGCACAGTTTTTATATAATTTATCATCTGAAAAGAAAAGAAAATTATTAGATCGCATGAGAAATTGTATAAAAAACTAAATCAAAACACCTTGTCTGTCGTATTCAATAAAATGTACACACACACACACACACACACACATATATATATATAAATGAATAAACAATACCAAATCCGTAGTTCGTAGGGATTATTCCAAGAAGGTTTTTTAATACAAAAATATGAAAAAGTTAAATTCATGATAAGTTCACAATGTATAAATTTATATACAGAGCAATATACATAAATAAATAACAAAGAAAAACTTCATTATTCATCATATAATCGGTTATAAATTTATTTCAGCAGTTATACACACACACACACACACACACACACACACACAAAATATATATATATATATATATATATATATATATATATATATAACTCATAATTCTCAAACAAGAAATGTCTAGTTAAAACCACATGTTTTCCAGTATAAACCCACTTCTTTTATGATGGATAGTAGGTCATCCACATCGACATGTTCAAATAACCCCCCCATGCTGCTCGTTTTATAGGATATCTGTCTCGATTTAATGTACAATGTAGATACATTGTAAATGATTTTCAATAGAAATGCATATAAAAGATGTCAGATATATTTTACTTCTGAAATTCATTGGAAATCAGAAAGAAAAGAATTGTTATTGGTCAAGAATTAATGAAAACCTTACAGACACAGTAAAGCTATTATATAGGGATATATATCCTCATTCATACAGAAAACTTGTCTATTCGTCATTCAACGGACGCTTTAGGTTGCGTTATGCATATAGCATGATAGGAGTCGCTTGTGCATATGCTATAGGATAGCCCTCGAAAAAAAACATGACCATAATTCAGCGTAAACTTCCGGGACGCAGAGTTTCCATTATTTAGTCTCTAGCTGTTGTCTTCATCTTCGACTGTTGTCCTGATGTTTGTACCATTCAGCCTTCTTCAGGTGCTTTTCGAACCGAGTAGCCTTGAATGGATTTCACACTGAACACTTTATTTAATCTAAGGGGTAGACTATTCTCGTTCCAATGTCCATGTTTCGAGGTATCTTGTTTTGTTCTTATTTAATACTGCTCAGTTATAGCTAGCACTGTTTCTGCTGAGTCTAAGTCTGCACTACCTGACCCAAGTATTGAACTCAGAATGATATTGGTTTCTAGGAGATGAATGAAAAAAAAAAAGTTTGTCAGAGCGATAGTGAATTCACCGAGTGATGTGTGCTCTTCTTTATTTCATCGACGCAAACACGCACGGAATTTGTTGTTGTCCGGGAATAACTCAAATCGAAACATAATACAAAGCTCAAGAACCGCGTAAACACGTACAAAATGTTTTCCTCCAATTTTAATATTTTATTTCAAAACGAGAATTATAAAAGTCACGAGACATGCAGATTAAATTTATGATTTACAATCCCCATATGTAAAACGTAATATGTGTCTGCATCTCTCCTCTCTCTTTCTCTCTCTCTTTACATGATGGCTGTCGACTTGTTGCACGAGTATGACCATTGCTGACAAGTTTGATCATTCATTATGGTTCATTAGCTTAAAATAAGCTAAAAGCTTAAATATAAAATGTGGATTTGGATTACTATTTTAATATTATTGTATTAATATTACAGTGTAACCCGGATATAAGAGACTTGGACATAAGAGAAACCCGGATATAAGAGAGATTTTCTCTGGTCCCAAAGTGTTCCCATACTTACCTAAACAAAATAGACCAAACCCGGATATAAGAGAAACCCGGATATAAGATACTTCTTCTTCGGTCCCGACAACTCTCTTATATCCGGGTTAAACTGTACAATATATATATATATATACTGGCTGTCACACAAGATTATAAGGCCCAGTCTACTCTGCTATTCAATCCATAACTTTGCCGGAGTGGGAGGATAAATAGGCCTGTCAACTCCTCTTTCAATATTTTTGTGTTCATTTAGCGTAAGAGTCGGTCGAAAACAAATGATTCCCACAATTTTTCTTTAATATTTGAATATTTCCCCAATTCTACAGATTTTACGCCAATGCTCAAATAAATGCACAGATCTTGATGAACAAAACACCTCTCTCACTTATACACACACACACACACACACACACACACATATATAGACAGCTAGTATTCATCTAAACGAGTTTGATTAAAAAGAATGGACAAGGTCTGTCTAATTTTTTGTTGTAGTTTTTTTTTGTTTTCAAATAAGGTTTTGAATATTGTGCCCGAAATTGTAGATAAACTGGCCGAAGTTCAGTATTATTGTTTTGTTCGAGTACTTTCGACCATCGTTGTCATTTTCAAGAATCATTAATTTATTATTATTATTATTATTATTATTATTATTATTATCTTTCACAGGTTTGGATTTTCAACCAGAGTTCTTGCATTATGGGTACTTTTTCATCAAGTCATTTATGATTATTATTATTGTTATTATTATCATTATTATTGCTACAGTGATAACGACAGCGACAAGATGTTTAAAAAGCTATCGATCTGAATTTTTTTACAATGATGTTCAGCTTGTACAAAACCCAAGAGCCACTCGACGTAGAGGGTCACAGAGTAAGAGGCATATTTTATGTGGATATGTAGGGATAGGGATAACGATTAACCTTAGACTTGAACAGGTTAAGATTGTAGTGATCGGGAAGCAGCCTCTCGGCTCTCTCGGTTTGTGAGAAGAAACTGCTCGAGTGGAACTTACATCTCACCAATGGAATATGAAGGGGATGAGATTGGTTTGCTACATTGTGCTTGGCATGGCGGGTCTTAGCCGTGAAGGTTTTGGGCACCTCGACGTGGTGTAATGGTTAGCAAGCTTGTCTTGTTAGGTCAATTACGACTGAATAGTGAGTTCGATCCTCACTGG